ATAATATGTTAAGTAAGTGTCCATTCTCCATACTTTTTCAAGTTTTAAATAAAGGTACAAGTATATTTGCTACTTATAGTAGTCCCTAAATATCCTTCCAGAAATTTTTAAATATGCTTATTCTAATTACTTTTTAAAAATTCTTAGATTTTGTTTGTATTCATAGAGTCAAGTCCAGTTGTCATGGGAAGATTTTGAAAAGTAAATTAACTTAGGGCTAAAAATGTTGCAGCTGACAGCTCACTCTAGTCCAGAGTTTCTTTTTTCTACAGACTCATTAACTGCTGCATAGACACACAGATTATTTACAAGATTGAAATAGCAAAGTTAAAGTACCTAAATACCTGAACAAGAACAAAAGTGTATTAAGCCACCATGATTTCAATGTGAACACAAGTTCAGTTAGTGTCAGCTCTTACCAATTCTTTCAACTTTTTACCTTTCAGAATAGGAATCTAAGGTCCCTGCTTACTAGCCATCAACCTTCCTTCTGCTGCCACCAAAATGAGGACTGACCCATCCTGTAATGTGATAGTGTTTTAATGCCATGAGTATTTTCAGAAATAAAAAGAAGAACATAAATGGCTCAAGAATATATATTTTATATCCAAATTGAAAAAGAAGATAGATAGTATTCTCTTGGCCATTTAGACTAAAGAATAATAATCATAAAACATATTGATAAGCCAAAAATGTTGAAGTTCTTGGTATATCTAAATAAGCATTTTATTTATCAAATTAAGAGTTCAAATATCACTATAGTTTCATTGAAATGACCTGAAAAACTTACTTATTCAATCTTAAATAAATTTTAATTAAGTTAAATTTCTGTAAAGTGAGATATCATCTTATGCCAGTTAAACAAGCTTTTATCGAAACAACAGGCAATAATGAATGTTGATGAGGGTCTAAAGAAAGGGGAATCCTTATACACTACTTATGGAAACACAAATTAGTATAACCACTATGGAGAACAGTATGGAGGTTCCTTAAAAAACTAAAAATACAACTACCATATGATCTAACTTTCCCACTGCTGGGCATATATCCAAAAGAAAGGGTATCAGTATATTGAAAAGATATCTACACACCTTTGCTTATTGCAGCACTATTTACAATTGCTAAGGCATGGAATCATCCTAAGTGTCTGTCAAAGGGTGAATGGATAAAGAAAACATGGTATATATAAACAATGGAATGTTATTCAACCATAAAAACTAAAATCCTTTAATTTGCAGCAACATAGATAGAACTGGAAAACATTATACTAAATGAAATAAGCCGGGCACAAAAAGACAAATATTGCATTGCATGTTCTCATAGATGTTGGAGCTAAAAAAAAAAAAAAAAGAATACAAAAAACTTGATGGAGACAGAGACTAGAATTATGTTACCAGAGTCTGGGAAGGATAGTAGGAAGGCAGGTATAGTAAAGAAGGGTAGCTAATGGAAACAAAATATAGTTAGGTAGAATGTATAAGATATAGTAGTAAATAGCACAATAGGGTGACGTCAGTTAAAAACAATTTATTGTATATTTAAAACTGAAAGAGTAGGATGGGAATGACCCTAACACAAATAAATGACAAATACTTGTGGTGATACCCAACTATGCTAATTTGATTATTATGTACTAAATGCCTGTACCAAACATAACATGTATCCTATAAATATATTACATAGCCATAATAATTAAAAAAAATTTAAAAAAGAAATATTTCCCCAAGGACACTTGAAAGCATGCCACTGTGTACCTATAAAAAAGATAAACTAATATGAAAAAATTACTACTAAAATTATAAAATATATCAGACTCATTTTCTTTATTACCGTGCTATTTTTTTGTTTCCTTGCTAAATAGATACAGTTTATATATAATATAGATTGCTCCATTCATTAAGAAATTTAAGGGAACTTGCTTACAAAAATTAATTATGCATCTATAAAAGAATCACTGATGAACTCATTCTGTGGGAGGGAATAAGTATTATGATCTCTAACACCTTTGTTAGTTAATATCAAAGCAATATAATATGCCATTTAAGATCATACCTGAATTTATTGCTTGAAAATGGTTAATTTCTTCAGTTGATTATAGGGATTACTGCAATTGTCATCATTACTTTTTATTACCCAATAATTACAAATTCAATGCATCGCATGTCTATCTGCCAAAGGAGGATATAATTATTTAATTTAAAAACAATTGATCTTGACAAGAGTCTAAAATTATATAAGAATTGAAAGCACTGAAAATGGTTGACATTATATTAACACTGAGGAATAATTTAGATCTATAACTACAGTTCATATTTTATGTAATAAGTATCAGATAAAAATTTATACCTTATAATTTGACTGCAATGTAACAGAGTGTGGTTTCAGCATGTATTGTTACCACAAATTCAAAATTATAAAAGCACAGATGATTGCTTTACTAGCATGATGATGGAGATTATGCTTCCAAAAATAGTACACGATTTCAGCTGAGTAACTTGAGCAATAACACCTTAAGAGTAAAGGTGCAACAGTAGAAAAGAAACAGGCAGGAAGCAAGTGGAGCCACAGGGTTTCTACTTCAAGTGACAATGAGAATGAAGTCTCCAAGCAGACAAGGGAGCAGAGGAGGCATGGCAGGCTAGCAAGGGAAAATGAGGAGGAGTTAACAAGGCTTTCATGGTTTCACCTAGAAATAACTACTAGGTGAAACACTGTTTGAAGAGAAAGATGCACTACCAATTCCTAAAAAGACACCAAGAAATCCAAACCTGAAATAGAACAAGGCTTTGTTCAAACAAAAACAAAAACAAAACAGCTCCAAACCCCAAAACAAAGAAGCAAAAAAAAAAAAAAAAAACACTTTGATTTTAAATTATAGGCTGCCTATATAGTTGATCTTCTCTATAATGCTATATCACAGAAATTCTGTTTTAACTCCCACACAGTAACATGATCATTTTTACTGGTCTGGAATCCGAGCCACTCTGTTCCCAAAAAAAGGCCAGTGTCCTTCTCTACACCTTTGCATTTTTTACATCCTCCTGCCAGAGAACAGTAAACTGTTTAGACCCCTTTCCACATGAAGGGCCCAAATAAATCCTATGCACATTACTGTTCCATTACCTCCTGACAAAAACCTTTCTCCAGCCACTTTTGGGAAAACAAAGCTTTCCATCCCAAGTCCTTCCAATGACCAACAGCTCACAAAACTGGCAGAAAGGTAGTAGATAAAACCTTTTCTAGGACTTTACTTTCTTAAATTTAATAACTAGTAATAAGTATCACAAACTTCCTTATTATTCTGGAACTAGTCAAGTTAGACATTCAAATGATGTAAACTAATTTGTTTCCCAAGTCCTCAATTTATTTGTATTTTTATGAATTGTGTCATATTTTCCAAGAACTGAATCAGAAGCTAACAGCTCTCCATTATGAACAAGAATGCTGTCCACAGCACTTTGCAAAATGCTGGGATGAGGAGTACAATTTAAATGGAATTTGGTATAATACGCAAAACACAGGACTTGCTGGAGGCTTTTGATTAACTTAAAACTATATTTATTTAAGACAAGGGGCATATTATGACTTAAAATGATATTATACTATTTAGAGAGAATTGCAGTGATTAGAGGGCAGCAGGTCCAAAATAACAAAACTCTATTCCCAATATTTACAAGTTTCTAATTGTGGCAGAATACATTCTTTTTCCTCTTGATTCTGTTTTCCAAGATGTAGATCAAAGTTAATATTTATGCATCTCTCAAAAGTGCTAGAGGAGGTAATAAATTTATATTTTCAAACTACTTTGAAGTTTAATCTCAAAGCCTTTATCATTTATAAAGGTTTCCCTGCCTTGATGAAATAAAAATATTATGACTAACATCATGCTGTAAACATTAGAAGGCAAAATTTAATTTCAAAATTATGTATTAAGCTAGTTTGATATGTCAGAATTAATTAAGTACATCTGAGTCCAGATAATCCAAGTATTTAAGGTTTCAAAAGAAAAACAGTATGTCTTTTCTCAAGATATATAGCACAGCAAGCTCCCCAGATCAAATATCAAAAGACAGGTTCTGTAACTACTCTGCAGTTCACTTCACCTTTGACATTTAGTGCCTTTATTTGAAAAAGCAGAGAGAAAAATGCATCATTGTCCTTCTTATTGTGGAGAGCTGATGTACCATGATCAAACTAAGTAAGAAAAAATAGGTAAATTTTGTGAGTATCAAGTTTCTTTATTTTTCTTTCTTTTTTTTATTATTCTTTAAGTTCTGGGGTACATGTGCAGATTGTGCAGGTTTGTTACATAGGTATACATGTGTCATGATGGTTTGCTGCATCCATTACCCTGTCATCTACATTAGGTATTTCTCCTAATGTTATCCCTCCGCAATCCCCCCATCCCCTGGTATCCCTCCTCTAGCCCCCACCCCCACCAGGCCGCAGTGTGTGATGTTCCCTTTCCTGTGTCCGTGTGTTCTTATTGTTCAACACCCACTTATGAGAGAGAACATGTGATGTGTATTTTTCTGTTCTTGTGCAGTTTGCTGAGAATGATGGTTTTCAGCTTTATCTGTGTCCCTGCAGAGGACATGAACTTGTTTCTTATGGCTACATAGTATTCCATGGTGTATATGTGCCACATTTTCTTTATCCAGTCTCATCAGCACACAACCCACCTCTGTTGCTCATGGTCACTCTTCTTGTAGTGGCTTCATCTGTACACCTACTTCAACTCTCATTCATATTTTCTTTACTACTTTGAAAATATGTTGCTAAAATCAAGTGGGCAAACTTGACATTGAGCCTTAAATATCTAATGAAATCTTGGAGGAATGGGGCTAAATTAGGTTATATAATTTCAAAAACAGTTCATGAGACAAATTACTCCATTTGGTGTAATGAAGTAATGGTTGGTGGAGTTCATATAAAGTTTTCCAGACTACTTAGTTTGGCTCAAGGACCAAAAAGAATGGAATGTAAGTGCCATTACTTACTCAATTGTGTTTCTGTCCACTTTTCCTGTCATGTTAATGCCATAGAACTGCTGCATGGCAGCTAGGGCGGACTGCATGGTCTCTGCAGAGCGCAGCACTGACATTCTGGGGTCAGTCGGTGGAAGGTAGCCGTACTTTTGTAACCAAACCTGCAATAACAAGTACAGTTCCTTTTAGATAAATTTTACAATTTAACAATAGTTTTCTGGTAATTAATGTATGTCTATAATAGAGTTTTAAACATTTTCTCAACAAGGGTGTACAGTATTTTAAGTGTTTGAATTTTTCTGGAAACATTTATTATATAGGTTAGGTTATTTTAATATAATTACAGTGATTGTTATGGATCTTTCTGACATGCCTTCTAATGCTAACTTTAAAAAGATTAATCATGTGTTGTAAGCTTATAATATGTAATGTACTATAGCAAATACTGAATAAAAAGAAGATTATTCTTGTCCTCCAGGACTTCAACCTCCCAAAGTGAAATTTTTCAACAGTATGACTCCATTGGGACATTTATGCTGCAAGGGAAGTTAATGTGCATATACCACATTAAAAAGCCGTCTTCCTGAAGTTGACTAGTGACTCCAGCTATGATTTGTAGCATCTTTACAGATAAACCATGTTAATCTGTCATGACATTTTGGGTATAAATTCCATAAAGCCATTCTATCCAATTGTAGCTTAGGTATCTTTTGATGACTTTACCATGTGAAGAATATTATTTCTTCATTTATTTACAGTGACTCAGTTTAATCTAAATCACACAAGTAACCACATTTTTTCACCTATAGAAGAAATATGATTATCATCTTAAGTGTGTTTAGCCCTCTCTTTAAGGGTCTCATGATTTTTATCCCCTACCTTCCCTGGTGACGGGGCCTCTGGGAGGACAGAGAAAGAAGTCAGAGTTGAGCTCACATCCTAATTGTGATTAGAGAAAAAATTCAGAGTCATTGAAGGTAAAATTTTAAAAGTTAATACACACTCAGGGCATTTGGAAAAAAATATGTATCTCCACCAGGGAGCAGATGCTTTCTAGTTTTACAACTCTATGCATCCATTTTATATGCACAATCATATGTTCAGGCCACATCTCATCCTGCTGTCCTTTACCTCGATCTTCTTTCTATAGGGCTCTGAGATTTCCTGGAGTTTAGTGAACTACCTATCAAATTGATAAGGGCCAAGTAATTCTGTACTGGCATAAAGTAGAAGACTTGCTATTTAGTGAAAGGTATTTACCAACACGTGTTTCCCTCCGAACCTTGGTCTATTTATTACATAAATGATCATCCTATAAAATTGTAGCTTTCCCTAATAATCAATATTCTTCCTTTATAAACTTAAACTTCTAAAACAGGAGATATATTTTCAAAGTGCAATTATTCAGCAAATATAGAAGTTAACTTTCACCAAAAGAAACTAATATTAAATGTATCAAAGTCTTAAAATGTGAAACATAAAGTGGAATTCTTCATGGTATTTCCAAAAGCTGACCACTTCAAAAGCACAGTACCATAAGCACATTCCCTTGAAAAAAAAAAATTCTAAAACTATTTAAGAAATGTGCAACGCATCACTGTCAGGAAGGTGTATTAAGGAAACTTAATCTAGTAAACTCATGCACTATATAGTAAAAGCATGCCAAAATACTTTTCTCATCTAATCTGTAGTGAACAGGCTGCCAGGGAAAATATGAATATTCAGTTTCCTAGTTAATAGTGCAGTTTGAGGTAGACTCCATTTTTTACTGAATGAAAAGAGGCAAAAAATGTTGTTTAATATGAAAGTCAATACCTATTGTTATGTAATTTCTCAAAATTAGAATGTTGAATCTTGATTTTTAATAACATACATGCACCAATGTTCTTAAACTGAATGCTTTTTCCATAATACTCTGTTTGCATTCATTTCTTACTTGCTGGAGAGCTGACTTGTTGCTAGGTTACTCATGGGTGCTACGCTACAGGCAATTACATTTATGAGGACAGCAAAGAAAAAACTATTAACAACAAACTCTATGACTTATGTACAGATAGAGGAACTATAAAATACATAAATGTTAAGTGCACAATGAACAGAATAAAAAGTACATATTTTATTTATGCATTAGCCATTCAAACAAATGTTTTAAAATAATATAAAAATGAATTGTGATTTTTCTTCAAGTTTTCTTTTACACTGTCCTTTATCATGAATGACTGAGCAGTGGATCATTATTCTTAATTGTAAAATATTGGGAAAGGTATGAGTGCTATCGTTTTATGGTCAAGGTTTGTCTTCTGGCAAATCAAGATTGATGTGTCACCTAGGAAACAAGCCTTTCTTCCAAATTACAAATTTATAGTATCTTTTTGGATAAAAAATTAAATCTACAAAGTAATATTTGAAAATGTATCTTTCTCTTTACTCCTAGTATTCTGCTATTCAAGGTTAATGATTTGGCATGTAGTCTTTGCATCTTTTTCACTGTTCTTAAAAATACATTTTGAGATATAACTATATATGTGAGTATGTATGTGTATCTATAAACATCTATACATATGTGTCACAGATTATTCCATACCCTTCCATCTGCGTATGTTTTTATTTGAAATATATTCCTGTTTTCATCATTGTCTTAAAATCCTTTACCTACTAGAGGATTGCAAATGCTAAATTTGTCTCATAAGATTAGTTGTGCCTTAATGTCTTTTCAATGTTCTCAAATGCACATTATGAATAGTTAAGGAATCATCCATTCTTGTGTGCACTTGGATGAATGATAAACAATTTGTATGGGTGATGTTAGCATTAACTGAGAATATACAAAGCCTTCAGCATAATTCTTGTTCAGTATGTCATATTATTACTTTATGCTTACTAACTACCCTGAGTTCTTAAAATTGCTCCTGTTCAACTTAAGATCTGTCCTTGGGATAAGGCAAGATGAAAAATACTGGTGAGGTTGAACTAGTCATAGCTGTAAGGAAATCCAAACAACATGGGGTAAAGAATCATAGAGTGCTTGAAAACTCCCCAAATCCAAAAGCAAATAAGGAAGATGTGACACATTTGGCAAATTAATTTTTGTTATATTTTCTTCACTTTGTGCTCACTGGATTGATAAGCGTCATTGAGAACACTGAAAAAATATTAAGGGAAGAACAAGTTCCTTTAAGGGACTTGACTTTGCTATCTGGGACTTACCCCATCTCATTATCACTAGAACAACCAACATCAAATGAAAACAACAAAATCTCACCTTGAATTACATTCCTGTTTTACTAATTCATTTAAACATCTTGCTACCAGGTAGACAGAACCAATTTCCTGCACTTAGTGGCTATTCAGCTAGAGGAACAACCAGAAGACTGTTGTTCTCTGCAGAGCAAGAGATATATCAAGCAATAAAAGGTAAACACTTAAATATTAAATGTTGTGCCAATAGATACTGCCTTTACTAGATTGTAGTATAAATCAGGACTGACGGGCAAAAATTTCAGCCAAATTCACTGGCTAAAGAATAATTTTGTCACTAATATTTCATGTGCCCATAATGTGACTATCTACGTTGACTCAGTTATTCACCACATATATGAAGCAGTATCCTGAAAAATGATTATATAAAAAATGAAGATAGTAGAAGTTCTCACAACTGAGACCAAATCTTAGCAGTCATTTTTTAGAATATGTATCCTTATTTCTTCCTTAAGGCTAATACTACAACCTAGAGAAATAAAATTCCCTCTAGCCTTTAAGCTAGTAAGTTTATCACCATCTTAATATAAAGCTAAATACTGTTATTCATTTGCTTAGATGAATCACAAATGCAAGAACAATTTTAAAACTTCCCCACTGACAGGACATAACATACAGAGAAAATATCTTGAAATACTGACTCTGATTAATTGCAGACATCCTTTCCACCATCAAAAAGAAGAAAAAAAAGTAAGTGAACAGGTGATTAAACTACTGAATATATTAGGGCTAGAAGAGGTACCTTTTAGAAATTATAGAAATAGTTGAAGGGGAATATAAGGAAGGCTGTGTTAGGATTTTACTCAATCTGAAAAATCACTTTGCCAGTCCACATGCCTATTTGTGACTGAATTTGTTATTTCAGGTTATTTCAAGTATAGTTAATTTCCAGCTAACATGGTACGGCAAATGCAAGTTCCTTGTACCCAGTGATTATATGATCCAAAGTACAGTATTCATATGAAAAGAAAAGGGCAGAAAAGGGCAAAGATGATAAATTTATTTTATAGCCTTTATTTAGTAACAATCTCTTCCATTTACTTTATTATATAAACATTTTTAATATTTTGGGAAACATTTTTTTTAAATTACTGACTTTACTTCAAATTTTATCATACTAAAAAAAATCTAAATCTATAATGTTTAAAATATATCTGATGTAATTAACTAACTAATTTTTCTTGTCAGAAAAATAGCTATAAATATAACTACCTATTAACCAAAAAATTAAACTGATGTTGGAGTAGTCATTTGGAATTGGTCAAATTGAAAATTCACAGGATAGGTTAACAGGCAGAAATTAGCCTTTTTCTTCATTCAAAAATCTAAATGGGCTCTAAATCACCATCCCATCCCCAGCAAGAATGGATTAGTGTATGAATTGCACAAATAGAATTCAACTCATTTAGAATTTTACCATCTCTTAAATGGCTTCTTAATATAATTCAATTCATTTAGAATTTTATCATCTCTTAAAAGGCTTCTTAAAATAGAAATGAAATAGTGGAACAACCAAAAGCTACTCCACTAAACAACTTATCAATCAAGAGGCAATCGTCATTCAGACAGGAAGAGAAGAAAAGAGCTAACTTACTAAAAGTTGTGATAACCATCATGATCATATTCTGCACCTTACCATGAAATTCATTTACGATAAAAGCCAATAACCCTGGGTCTCAAGACTGTGGAGAGGTTTTCCAATCTGTGTAAAGTGAATTGCACTTTGTACTTAGTAGTTGTGGGAGCAAAACCCTCTCAAACAGCAATGGCTGAGCTCCAGTGTTAAAAAAGAGCAGTGGCCTTACTTGAACTTCTATTATGGCTGGGCAAGGTGGCTCACACCTGTAATCCTAGCACCTTGGGAGGCTGAGGTGGGTGGATCACAAGATGAGCAGTTCAAGAC